GGTGTATAGGACGCAAGCAGATTTTGAGATCAAATTTTGGGGTAAAAACGTCTTATACACCGAAAAATACGGTATCTAATAACTTCGTTATAGTTGTATAAATGGCTGTGACAATAAACAGCACAGGAGAAATAATCTCTATAATGTCAAGATTTAAATTAGCAACGGCCTACCTCAGTGTTATTTACCAATATTTAGAAAAACATTATATAAATGTAAATGCGAGAAAATTACGACTTTTATTCAAATTGTTTTAGGATCTTTCAATGTTCATATGCATAACAATAGATCACAGAAGAAAACTAGAATTTTGGGGCTTTATTTATTTATTTTTTTTCAAATTGACACATCAGCGGTTTTTATTTCCTACTTGACATTCTTATCTTATTTCTTACAACAATGTTTGACTGCGGAATTATTGTTTTTGTTATAAACATTTTCGCTAGTTTATCTATTTTTCTGTTACAGTTTATGTAACGTTTTTTTAGCCTTGGTATCAGTTTAATTTACATTATCTAAAATGAAATTCAAATATAAACTTTATCCGAACTAATGCCAGGGAGTTTTACAACTTGGGGTAAACTAAACAGATTGTTTGCCTCGGATATTTGCTCAGAGTACCCAAATATTAAATGACTCAGCCGTCCCTAATTTTGAAGTGATAGACTAGAGGGAAGACAGCTAGTCAACACTACTCATTCTTGGACTAGGTGAGAGTTGAAATTTACTGTCACTATGATGACGCGCCCACGACCTTGATGTGGGGAGCGCGATTTAGCAGAAAAATTACACGAGCCAGGAATCCTCGGATTCACAGTCCGGCACATTAACCAACAGGTGCCAAACGGAATGGAAAATTAACGGTGAAATTATGAATATGTGTACACAATAACTGAGCAAGCGTTGTTGAAATATAAAACCCTAATACAAGCAGCCATATCAGATTTGATAGTAAGACCACAAGAGCTAAAATGGCTAAGACGGTCCACAAGATTCAACGTTTCGTTAACCCTAACTTGAAAAACGTTCCCCTATATCTGTTCACCCAACGAATACGTTCAAAACTTTCTATTAAAACTAAGACAAATAAACTTTATATTGAATGGTTTATAACAAACGATTAGTTAAATTAAACATGACTGGATAATTCATAACAAAAAATTAAGTACACATGATTGGAGAGTATAAAACAAAAAATTAAGTACACATGATTGGAGAGTATAAAACAAAAAATTAAGTACACATGATTGGAGAGTATATGTTTAGTTTAACTAATCATTTGTTATATACTCTCCAATCATGTTTAGTTTAACTAATCATTTGTTACGATTGGAGAGTATATAACAAATGATTAGTTAAACTAAACACGATTGGAGAGTATATCACAAATGATTAGTTAAACTAAACATGATTGGATAGTATATAACAAATGATTAGTTAAACTAAAAATGATTGGAGAGTATATAACAAATGATTAGTTAAACTAAACATGATTGGAGAGTATATAACAAATGATTAGTTAAACTAAACACGATTGGAGAGTATATAATAAATGATTAGTTAAACTAAACACGATTGGAAAGTTTATAACAAACGATTAACTAACTTATATATAGACTGGAGAATATGTGCTAAATTATTCTGATTCAAACCTGAATGTTTCTAATGAACGATTTTTGTGGAGCTCACATAAACTGAAAATTGCTTTAAAACAAAAACAAAAATATTTTCACTATTTTAAATTGTAACAGTAATTGCTTGTTTTGCATTAGGGAAAGTGTAAGACAGAGGTGCTACAATCCAGCATGAAACATCTGTTTAAAAGACAGAAACAACATTTTTTGAAAGGAGAAAAAAGAACTGCATTATACCTGAAAATGTCTTAATGTAATTGCATGCTCTCTTCCCAGCATACACTGTTCTGTCATGAGCGCCCTGACAACGTCTTTGGTAGTTACACAAGTACAGTGGTTTGCTGTTCTTTGAAGTGATTTGAATTCTGACGTAGAAGATAGCTCCTGGTAACAACCATTGGCTAACAAGTTTTCTTTACTTTCGTATTCCACAGATTCAATACTTTCATCACTACTTTCTGGTTCGAAATCAGGGGTGTACTCTCTACCCCCAACAGTCCCCACTGTTGCACCTGAATTCTGACTAGAATTGAGAGAACGGTCGGAAGAAGTCACATTTATGGCAGTGTCTGCGGTACCTGGAGGTGTGTCTGAGTGTCGATAGGAGGGTTCGTTTCTTACGAGTGGTGACTGAACTTGAGGTTTTGTATATCTAGACTTTGTACATGATGGCCGAGTTTTATGTCTCCTGGTTGTACTCGCAGAACTCTCACCAGTAAAGACATGATTGGGTAGATTTTCCGCCCACTCTTGCTGCTGCTCAGATGGTTCCGAGCTAGTAGTAACAGTGATCTGAGAAAACGGGCGCCAATAATACTCATCCGGAACTGAGGCTGCCAGAAAACTTGTCCAAAAACCGTTCCTTTCACCAAGTTGATAGCGGATCAGATTTACTAAAGTAGGGACCGTTTTTTTCTCATCTCTGTTATTGCAGCCAGCCAATTCGAGAAGACGTTCGCAGACCATGTACACTATCTTAAAGAAAATAACGTTTTGTATCTTGTACCTCGATAACAATGTTTTTATATAGATTAGAGAATTAAGTAACAATACCAAACTCACGTTCACAGACCATGTACACTATCTTAAAGAAAATAATGTTTTGTATCTTGTACCTCGATAACAATGTTTTTATATAGATTATAGAATTAAGTAACAATACCAAACTCATGTTCGCAGACCATGTACACTATCTTAACGAAAATAATGTTTTGTATCTTGTACCTCGATAACAATGTTTTTATATAGATTATAGAATTAAGTAACAATACCAAACTCACATTCACAGACCATGTACACTATCTTCAAGAAAATAATGTTTTGTATCTTGTACCTCGATAACAATGTTTTTATATAGATTAGAGAATTAAGTAACAATACCAAACTCACGTTTTAGACATTCAATAAATGATGAATTCGTTTACTATTGAACAGTTTAACTCTTCAGTAAAGTTACTGGCAGTTGAAGCATCAAATACTAACATTTGTAGCCGATGAAAAAACAACATTTCTTACATTTTAACAACTTGATTTAATATACGCATCCAAATAAAAAAAAAAAAATGTTTCTCGCATCTTAGCAACGTAAAAACTTGATTTCAGTGGATATCTTACTTTGGGAATATACTTGAGATGTCTAGCCTCGTAACCATGAAGCACTTTTCGTTGTTGGTTTAGATACTGGTTGAGGGAGAAGAGATGAGCATTAGGTATCCTGAGGTGGAACAAAAGTGGTACCATTAAAATCTATATTGAGTATATATATATATATAAACGTAAGATTTGACGCCACGATTTGTTTTAGCACATTTTAATAAAGATTATAAATACGACGTTTCGTGAACCGTTGTTAGATTAGTTTAGAGTGAGTTGTTTCAAAAAGATAGTACTTTGTTTCCAAGATAGTCCATTTTAAGATACAGGGCTTAATTAGCCAATATGTTTGTTATCGCGACTATTTTGCACGTTATTTGTAACGTAGGCCTACAACAAATTTACGACAGTGTACAAGTGTTCAAGTTTTTAGACACGTTAAACGAAGAAACAAATTAATTTATTATCATTAAGTAGATTGAAACTTGAACTATTTACATCAAAACCCACCAGCGAAAGAATTCCGAATTCTCGAATTTTAAATTCGTTTAATCCTTTGTATGTTTAGCTTTAAAGAAACTAATGATAAAGACACTGTTTCTTTAGAAAAGTTAAAAGAAATAATGATACTTTAAATGATTTATTCAAATCTTTGAAACATAATTCACACTATCATCTACTTCCGAAATCATTTTAACATTAGGACTATTGTACCTGATATTCTATTTTCATATAAAAACAAATCGTTACCATGGTTTTAATTTAATATACAAAGCCAATACTTACACGTTTGGATACACAGTCAGAAGTGGTATGATGAACTGTGCAAATTGCTGGACACAGATAATTTGGCGTCTTGTTTGTATAGCATTAGGCCTAATATAAAAAATATACCCTAATCGTACAATCTGCATTAAATTCACGTAGAAAATTACTTGTTAATCGCTTTAACAACATATAAAAAATAATTTTATGCTTTCAATTCGCACTCAAATCGTTTCCCTTTTTTTAATGTTTGTTAAAAAAAAAATTCAAAATATAAATTAGATTAATACACGTGTGTTCTACTTCCATATCGCCTCTGAAAATATTAACATCATATTAGACAAAGTGCACAATTTGTAAAAAGATTATTAAACAAATTAAGCAAGAAACCTAACACATTAAGCTTATAACCTTGTACATCATTTACACTTTAGTTTTGTAAATTTACCATTATTACATCTGATATCCTGGATTTTCATTATCAAGCTAGAAATTTTTCATAAACTAAAAAAAGTTTTTAAGTGTTATAGCGTCAAGTTTTTGTAGTATGTGTCTTGAATAGTTTACGGATTATGTTTTCTTCACATTCTAAATTATACACCAATAGATGGCGCCAAAACAACAGTACTTTAACCGTCTAGAAAATTAGTGGACAAAAATGATAAACATATATTTATATAAATATGACAAATCACTAAGAGCATCCGGGTTACACGAATACTATCCAGAATTACAAAATATCTGCACAATAGTAGGCGTTTCTTTGTTTTTAAGTGTACAACTGCACAACAGCCTACCGCAAGGATCGAGCCCCGAACTTTAGCCTTATAAGCTCTCGATCTTATCGCAGAGCATTATTAGTTGTCTTTGTACGTCCGTGAAATTCAGTATCAGTTCACAAAACAATTTTTATTAATATTTTCTTAAAAAAAACAAGATCAAAGTACTATTTAGAACATGCAACGAAGAGGTATATGTTAATAATGCACAATTAATGTTAATAATAGGGCATTTAAACGACAGTGTAAAGAATAAGTTTTCTATTAGGCCTAACACCCCACCTTTTGATCCGAAGGTATCGAATGGCGTCGTTGGACTTGCATCGTAGAACAAACACAAGATAACTCGCTATAAGAACACCTGTGCGACCAAGGCCAGCGTGGCAATGGATGGCTACCTAAACAAAAAGAATTACAAAACCAACAGAGAATACTTGTAACATACTGGAATAATAACAATAGCTCTTGTCAGTAATATATTTATTGATTTGTTTTTCTCTTTCTTTACACTACATGACAGAGGAATATGTTAATATTTTCTTGAATAACCCATGAGAATTTACTTCTGTACAGGATAAAAAAAAAACATTTCATTTACTTAAAGGTTTTTCATGCAATATTCTACAGTTCATATCTCACAAATAGAAATATCAAGGACAAAAGTAACAGGCTAAGTTCTTTTTTTGTCAGCATATTCCTTCGTCAAGATGTTTCTTAGTATTAAATATGTTAAATAATAGTTACAAAAACTCAGATGTTAAATATGTTAAATAATAGTTACAAAACTCAGATGTTAAATATGTTAAATAATAGTTACAAAACTCAGATGTTATATATGTTAAATAATAGTTACAAAACTCAGATGTTAAATAATAGTTACAAAACTCAGATGTTAAATAATAGTTACAAAAACTCAGATGTTAAATAATAGTTACAAAAACTCAGATGTTAAATAATAGTTACAAAACTCAGATGTTAAATAATAGTTACAAAAACTCAGATGTTAACTTGGCAGACTTGGTTTTTTTATTCCGAAATATAATCCCCCACAGATCGTTAGTCACGGGTTTCATTACTTCTTTTTTTGTTGAAGAAATGGATATCACCAGATTGTACACAATACCCATAATGGATATCACCACATTGTACACATACCCATAATGGATATCACCAGATTGTACACAATACCCATAATGGATATCACCAGATTGTACACAATACCCATAATGGATATCACCAGATTGTACACAATACCCATAATGGATATCACCACATTGTACACCATACCCATAATGGATATCACCACATTGTACAATACCCATAATGGATATCACTACATTGTACACTATACCCATAATGGATATCACCAGATTGTACACTATACCCATAATGGATATCACCACATTGTACACTATACCCATAATGGATATCACCAGATTGTACACTATACCCATAATGGATATCACTACATTGTACACTATACCCATAATGGATATCACAGTAAATGTCTTATACTATTTTTTGTTTTGTTAATATATAACGTTTACAACACGATGTATTGATTGTTCCAGGAGAATGTTGACTAGTAGGTACTGTGTGGACATCGCGTGTTTGCTGAAGGAGGCTTCTCACTGTGAGTGTGTTGACCACTAGGGGGCGTAAACGTTTATTTTTGAGGATAAAATGTAACAAGTTGGTTACATTGTTCCGAAGACTGATTGGTGGAGTTTCACCGATAGCTTGTCTTATGCTACTTTACTAAGTATATATATATATATACATATTAAAATCAAAATAAATTCTCCTTATACAGCCACAACTTTACGCCTATTTCAAAGATACACGTCAAGGCTCACTATCAGACATACAGTTAACTTTGGAAATGGAAAATATATATAACTTATTCACAAAATGTCAGAAAGTATAATTCTATATGTACTTTTGGTGAACTTTCTTACTGTTCATTCAGTAAATAAACGTAGTTTGTTTCACACTAATCTTAATGTCTACTAACATACTGTTTACATACATATATATATATATACGGTCGTTCAGCAACTTGGTCACGTGAGATGTGATGCCTGAAAATAGTGTTAGCTGGTAAACATTTACCCTTCTTTATTTGATCAGTTGGTGAATGGGTTTGACCGAAGTGTTAGTTGATTTTCCATGTGATTTGGTACTTTGGTTATTCGTTTACATAGTAGTGGGTGGGCCAAAAAATATAATGTGATTTATAGGTACAGCCATCAGAAGTGAGGAAGAAAGAAAAAAAAAACGTCGACACACCCAGTCTTTGGCCGTTAGAATGCATGAAAAGTTTGGGGGTACGTACATTTATTTACGTGAAACTATAGTGTCAACAGTTGAGACAAGTAACCTAAGTGCTTATCTGGAGACGCGATAGAGTAAGGTTCTTACAATGTTTATTCCTGTTACACTTTAACATCGAGTATTTACGTTATGTGTTCTTATACGATAACTCTCCCGTACATAGTTTCGTGTTCTAGAAAATAAAATATTATACAAAAGCTTACCTTCCCTTCCGTCAAAGCAAAGGCCATCACTTTCACAACGTCAAGCAGAGAAGCCAGTGTCACGACACCATAATCCCTCCTGTCACGCGAAACAACCAATCATACATCAAAGAAATAATTATTTAAAAGCGTTTATCTCGGGTGTTAAGTTCGATCCGGGCAATAAATGCAAAGGTTCCCCCATCCCACCTGCTCCTTCTATTTTTATTGTGGGGAGGAGGAAAGGGGAATTGTAAATGAAGTAATAGGACCGCGCCAAATTCTTCTATTCCTACCCCCCACCTTCGTTTTGGTATGTAGAGTTTGGATTTACAATCTAGCGAACAGTGGATCACCCTAGTTAAGTCTCTCAGTTAAATCGTTCGTTACACACTGTCGATATACACAAGATAAACTGCTGGTCACTTGTCCCGTTGATATAAACGTGATACACTTCCAAACATATAAGTTAAACTATTATAGTTTAGAAATGACGTGGAGCAATATTTTTGACATCATGTTGTATATACAGGCCTTATCTTTACCCACTGATCTTTAAGTAACC